GAGCAATTACTGTGCGTCAGATGAGCCGGTCCCTTACAAATCACCTCGAACTTTACACATCTGCTGGCTGTCAGCATCTGCCAGGCTCACTCACCCGAAAATAATGAAAAAAACTCTCATTATTGTTCCATAGCAGGTAAAGTGTTAGGACAATTATTAGACATCCTGACTGACCTTGTGCAGACTTAACCAACCGCCCTTGCCAACCTTTACGCGTCAGATGAGCCGGTCCCTTACAAATCACCTCGAACTTTACACATCTGCTGGCTGTCAGCATCTGCCAGGCTCACTCACCCGAAAATAATGAAAAAAACTCTCATTATTGTTCCATAGCAGGTAAAGTGTTAGGACAATTATTAGACATCCTGACTGACCTTGTGCAGACTTAACCAACCGCCCTTGCCAACCTTTACGGGCAGCCTCTGGGCATATAAAACACAAAAGCTGTTCTTGCAGAGGATGCAAAGGTTGTGACATCAGTAGGAGAAGAAAAGGCCCTGCCTGGAATCCAGGCTGGAAACCATGGCTCCATCTTAAATCCACGTTGTCCTGCACGCAGCAGCTAAGGATGGGGTGTGAGGCTGAAGTTCAGATCTCCCATCTTTGTCCTCTCTCCCTTGCAGTGAAGCTTTTCCCCAGCACAGGAGCTGGAGCAGAGTCCTGCCCACAGCCAGCAGGAGCAGAGTCCTGCCCACAGCCAGCAGGTACTGCACAGACAGACAGAAAGCAAAACCCTGAAGGGGCAACAAGCCTGAGCTTGGTGACTGTCCAACCTCAGCTTCAAAGGCGTTTGGAAGAGCGCTGGTTATGAGAATTCCACCACTGGCTTTTTACCTTGCTTTTGGTATTTCAGAGTGGCTTTGGGTTTAATTTAAAAGAACAGAAAGTGTGCTAAGCACTTATGCTATTTGACTCATTTGCATCAGTGGAGTAATAACTGTGTGCTTCAGTGTGAACTTGTCATCATCTCTGAACCTGGGGAAATAATACTAGGGGAGAGTTATCCACCTGTGACCAAACAATAAAGCAAAACCAGGACTTGTGGAGGAATGTTGTCCCCACGCCTGGGCAGGGCTAATGTTTGCCTATGGCCCTCTGCAAGGGCCACAGGGCTGGTGCTACAGGTAGAACATCTTCTGTCAAGATGAGATGAAACCGAGCCAAAAAGAGACTGAGTATAATGGCCAAAAGGAGGAATGACTTGCCTGGTTTCAAACTCATACAATTGTTTAGGTTGGAAAAGACCTTTAAGATCATTCCAACCATTAACTTTACCAAGTCCACTCCTAAATCACGTCCCCCAGCCCCACATCTACACATCCAGCAATGGTGATTCAAGCACTGCCCTGGGCAGCCTGGGCCAGGCCCTGATGACCCTTTCAGGAAAGACATTTTTTATAACATCCAACCTAAACCTCCCCTGGTGCAACTGAGGCCATTTGCTCTTGTCCTATCACTTGTTCCTTTGGAGAAGACACCAACCCCTCACCTCTCTCCTACCTCCTTTCAGGTAGTTGTAGAGAGCAAGGTCTCCCCTGAGCCTCCTTTTCTTCAGACTAAATAGCCCCAGGTCAATACAGAAGAGTTTGAAAAGAGAAATTCAAACCAGGCCTTTAGCCTGCCTGGCTGCCAGAGAAACACAGTGCTTGATATGGTTTTAGCCAGAGTCTCAAAATCACATTCAGAATTACAAATCAGAAAGGGTTTTGCAGCCAGAGCTCAGCACTAGTCCTCAACAGCCTGGCTAGCAGTGGGTAGAACCTCACCCAGACCACAAACTGGGGAGTGATGAGGACAAAGAGAGGTATCAAAGTCTTCAGATGCTGCTGACTAGCAGGCAGGGGGATGTTCTTCCACTGCCCACAAAAGCCTTGCCACTGCCAGGCAGTAATCCACGTAGCAATGCTGCTCTACACAGCAGGCAAGCCCCCTCTTCTAGCCTCTGTGATGAGCAGGTCACATCCTGAAGTGTCAGATTATGTTACCAATTAATGCAAATCCCCAGCCTGACCCTGCAGGTTTGTCCAAGGAGAACCTCCCAGAGCAGGATGGACACCTGAGAGGAGAATGCAAAGAGGTTTTCCAGCTCAGTGCTGGCTGAAAGGGATAACCCCTTCTGGGGTCCAGCTGTGGAAACACCTCTGGGGGGGGACTATATTCACCCTGCTTCACCTGCCCTCTACTTAAAAAGTGTATTTGTGGCAATAGTGATTATATTTTCTCTGTGAATCTGCATTCATGCTACTCATGGCTCAGCAGCAAGCATTTCTCATCTTTAATTTTTATTTTTTTTTTTTCTCATCTTGAATTTTAGCTTCCAAAATAACACCAAGCAAATTTATTATTTCAGAATAAATTTTCAAAAGAGTATTATTTCAGAATATTATTTCAGGAGGCCAGCCATAGAAGCCCTCACCCATCCCAGGTTCATTTGGGCAGATGTTACAGCACAAGGCTCTCCCAGTTCCCCAGAAATACACAACTCCCCCATGTTTTGCTTCTATGCCTTTCAAACCTTCCCATTCCTCTGATTTCTACCATCCTCACAGTACATCCAAACTGCTTAAATCTTGCTTTGACATCTCTGATGCTACTTTTCCCTCCTGATCTCCTGGAGTTTCCACTCACAGATGTCCTGTCATTGGCCTCAAGTACAGCCAAGCTCATTAAAGCCCTCGTTCTCTGGTGGTCCATCTTTCTGCTCCACATAGCAGGGCTGGCCTGACAAATCCTTACCTATGGCACTTTTTGGCCCCTCACCCCTTTGCATTCTTGTGTCTGAAACTCATCTCTACATCTGCCATCTCAGGAGCACAATTTCCTCTCCAGACCCATATGGTTCACCTCTCTCTATATATAGAAGCAGATAATTTGGAGGGAATCCAACGGAGGGATTGCAAAAAGGATTAAAAAAAATAGGAGGGCATTACCTTTGAACAGGAGTGAAGGCAGATTAATAGGCACATATGAAGGAGCCACAAGAAAAGAGGCCAATGTTATTTAAGGATGGGCAAGGGTGAAATAGGAAAGGATAGTTATAAAACTAGACTCTGGAAACACCACTTTGCAACACTGCTTGATAGTAAACCCTGAAAAAAAAAAAAATCACAAAATTGGAGTTCCAAGTAAGCTTAAAAAAAAACTACCAATGCCTTTATTTAGGTATTTCAATAATTGGGAATTTTTCAGAGGTAGGAATAAATCCTGGAAGTACAAAACAAACACAAAGTTTGCCCTGTGGTGG